CTAAGTTGGTTATTATGGGCGAGGATTGCATCCCGATTTGCAGACGACGCGCTTTCATACATTTTTCAACTTTCCTGTGAAACATTCCTGTGTGATGACTGATGAGCCTGCGCATTAACCAGAGCTTAATAAACTAATCTAAAGTAGGTACTAGTATCAAGTTTGTATTATGTATTCACTATCCAGTCGTAATTGTCAAAGTATTTTGCAATTATGTATTTTGAAAGTACCTAAGTGACTCTACATCCAACCTGCATCACTTTAACAGGAAAATGATAGTACAGTAGCATTAGGGTACTTCTCATTTACACTCAAATTTGATGGTCACACAGTAATAGTTCATAAACGGTATAAGTTAGAACAATAACTTTGAAATNGTGCATAATTTTTTCCGAATCTACAACTAGTTAATAACTACCACACATAACTTGCTTTTCCGTTTTTTAAATACTTAGTTTAGGGTAATTGAATTGAAATTCAAACAAAACTATCAATAATATAGGTACTGATTAAAAACATTCATACAGCATTTGCATCCTGAGCAAAAAACAACTAAATTGATATTAGTGAACAGCTTACAAAAATGAGTGTTTAAGATTGAATATTAGATTTCAAAATTATTAACCTTCATTGGTTGTCAATTTCAAAGGGCAGTGAGCATGTTGGAGGATGCTTGTACCATAAGGACAAGCATCAGAAGCAGGGATGTTATGGATATCCATAACCATAACTGAAACTCTCGGATATCCGAAATAAAAAAATATCCGTAACCGTAACCATAACCGATTCAAAGGTTTCGGATAGTTTCGGATGTAGGCAGAGTCAAGCAAGTCCTTATCCTGATTTAATGATCGCATTTTGAAGTACGAGTTCTTTTCCATAAGATAAAAGCTTTTTTGTGAGACCAAAAGAAGGTGACAGATGCTAAAGAAATCTCTTCTGTACCCATTCTATTCGTAAGGCATGAACTGTGATGGACAACTATTGGAATTTGTATTCTATACTTAGCACAGATAACCGTAATCGTAACCTTATACTAAAACGTTTGTTTTTATTTGTATAGAGAACAATAGTGTCTAGACAAACCTAAAAAGGATTTAGGACGCTATTTGGATCAAATATGTAATTGCTCAATAATGAATAATAAATAAATAAATAAAATAAATAAATAACCGAAACTTTCGGATATCTGAAATAATAAAATATCCATAACTGTATCCATAACCGAAACTACATATCCATAACATCCCTAATCAGAAGCACTGTTGTGCACAATTTTGTTTCATATACGAGGGCTGCACTAAAAGTATCGGGAATGGAATATTTCCACTGTTCCAGTCATATTAAAATCTATTTAATTGCAAACTCCAGGGTTTTAAAAATCGTATACCATTTATTTATTTAAAAAAAGATCCTCGGTCGTATGACAAGGTCTTGTCAAACTTGTTTAGTCGTTGAGAAAATGGAATTGACTCGAGAAAATTCAAGAGCGATGATTTATTATGACTTTTGAAGTGGTTTAACACAAAAACAGTGTGTTGACCGGATGATTTCTGCATTTGGTAATGAAGCCCCATCCAAAACCACAATTTATCGCTGGTTTCCTGAATTTCAACGTGGACGTGTCAAGCTCAGTGATGATCCCCGTCAAGGTCGTCCAAAAACTGCAGTCACCTAAGAAAACGTTGATGCTGTGCGTAAGCTGATTGAAGAAGATCGACATGTGATATACCGCGAAATTCAGGCAACTTTAGACATTGGCATGAGTCAAATACAAATAATCTTGCATGAACAATTAGGTGTAAAAAAGTTGTTTTCCCGATGGATACCGCATTCGCTCTGTGAAGAGCAAAAAGCGGCTCGCGTTACTTGGTGCGTCAGAACTCTCGGGAGATTACATGCAGGATCCTCAAATGCTGTATACAACATCGTATCAGGTGACGAATCATGGATATACGCGTACGAACCCGAAACAAAAAACCAGTCACGAGTTTGGGTGTTCGAAAATGAATTAAAGCCAACAAAAATTGTTCGTTCACGGAGTGTTGCAAAAAAAATGGTGGCCACGTTTGTCTCCAAAACCGGCCATGTTGCGACTATTCCTCTTGGGGGACAAAGAACGGTTAATGCAGATTAGTATGCTAGCATTTGTTTGCCACAGGTCGTTTCTGAACTCCGTAAAGAGAACTGCAACCGCCGCATCATCCTCCATCACGACAATGCGAGTTCTCACACCGCGCACTGAACAAAAGAGTTTTTAGAGCAAGAAAACATAGAATTATTAGTCCATCCGCCGTACAGCCCCGACCTAAGCCCTAATGATTTCTATACTTTCCCTAAAATAAAGAAGAAATTGCGTGGTCAGAGATTTTCATCACCTGAAGAAGCTGTGGAAGCCTACAAAACGGCCATTTTGGAAACCCAAACTTCCGAATGCAATGGTTGCTTCAATGATTGGTTTCGTGTATGGAAAAATGTGTCAAATTTCGCGGAGAATACTTTAAAAAGCAATAAATACATTTTTAAATAGTAATGTTGTTTCACTTCCTTGATTCCCGAAATTTTCAGTGCCGCCCTCGTAATAACATTAATTAGATGGAAAAATTAGCAGACAAGTTATAAAGTTAACATGTTTAGTATTGAAAACTTTAATTTAAATGGACTAAAAGGTCTGTTGCAAGAGGTTGTTGTTGGTCCATGCAAGAGATTTCTTATGATCTGATTGTTTATTACCATACTTGTAGTGCTTGGTGAAGCCCCATATAATAGTAAAACTAGTTTACTATGAAAACTTTAAATTAAATGGACTAAAGGTCCATTTAACACTTTTTATTTTATGGATTCTAGTTTTTATATTAATTATAACAATAATAAATAAATGAAATAAAAAAATATTTTTTGCCATTGATTCAATACCACTTCTTTCTGAATTTCCAAAAATTACATAATTTTGGCCCAATCGGATTATCATTTTTTGAAAGGGAACAAGGGGGTGGTAAAGCCTTTGAGTCAGACCAAAATTCACATGTGCGAAGCCATGGGCAAAAGCTAGTTTTAATATTTATAAACAGCTATGAAGTCAGCCTAGATCCCAAGCCTAGTAATTTTGTATGTATGTTACGGTTAATGTGATGAATTGAAAATTATGAATAATCGCCGGTTATTATGAATAATTACCGACAGGCGAGGTAAAAGTGATAAATTAATCACATATCAGTGATTATTTCATAATGTAACCTTAATACTAACAAATATCATAAAAGAGAACATCGGCTCGTGTACAGCGCTCATGTACAGCCTCACATTTTGAACGTTTTGATATCATATATTAATATAATTTGGCAAAATGAGTTTGGACTGTTTCTTGCGTAACATTACTTTGCCATAATGCCTATAACACATTGTTTTGATTTAAAGTGAAAAATAGGTTAAGGTGCGGCGGGGGTGGCCCTTGGGCCACCCCTAAGCCGCCTATTTAGTTTTATACACACATAAATGATCTCATATTAATCACATTTACCAAATCATGAGGTAATTATTAATAATAACCGACGATTATTCATAATTTTCACATTTTAAATCACATTTACCGTAACATGTACAGTACAGTTGACAGCGCATCGGTCAGTCTATGTACATTTGTGGTAATTAGCAACTTCAACGAAATACAATGCCACAGTGTCTCTAGCTAGATGTACCAAGTGGTAGACCTAATCAACAATGCACCACCTGGCAGGTTAAATTACCAGAGTGGATCCCTATTATAGAATCATGGCTGCATCATCAGCCTCATCATCATTATTTCATTACAGGGCTCTACCGTATATTGCCACCACAAGTTAAACTGAATAATTACTTATTCAGTTTTAAGGGCTGATTTTTTCAATCGCTGGTTAACTTTTAACTGAAGAATAAGTTTGGCATATTGACAGTTTCAGTATGGGAAATATGTCAAAATGTCAATTTTATCCTTCAGATAAAAGTTAACAGACAATTGAAAAGTCAGCCCTAAATTGAAAACTAAAAATTTGCAACATGTTGTACCCTATACGGGGTTATTTATTTATTTGTAGCTTTACATTCACATAACAGTTTTATTTAATTAATCTGTATGTCTGTTGTTTATGGGTCCCTGGACCTGGGCAAAAGCCTCAAACAACAAAACAGCAAGGCTCAAGATGTAAAAGAAACATAGGACAGCTGAAGAAAAGATATGGGGTCGTTTAATCTGCAGGAGTAGGAGTATGGTCTCTTATTTACCATACATAAATGGAGTATTTATGCTGCACTCCCCAGATGCTGGCCGGACAGGGGTTTGGGAGGCCAATGCTCTCATATTTTGTCCTTATATCATTCGCAGAAAGATTGGGATTAATAATAATCTTTGCCAGAACTAAATGCCATAAGGGTCTTGGGCTATTTCTTACTTGCTAACCATCAGGGTGACTGGCTATGAATGTGAGACTGATGGTAACATTGGAAGAATTCCCATGGGGTGAAAACAGAATAATATTATGGCTCTGGCTTTTCAATCGGGATGAATAGGATTCGGATCTCTCAAGAGGCTTTAATAAATTAAATGGCATAGATTCATATTTTGAACTCTATTGTTTATGATCCTAGGACTGTTGTATTTATTCATTCAGGGAGAATGGAAAATTTAATACTTTTAATGTATAAAGGATAAATAAAGGATGGTTGGACCTCAAATATAATTGAAACTATAAACAGATTGGAAATAACAAACATTGTGATTTAAATCGCTTCGAAAACTATTGTTTGTCAATGAGAAATGCACAGGAACTAATCTCAGAAGACTCCAGTAACCAACACTAACAAAAATATTATTCAATTTACTTTTTAACAATAATAACAGAATGCAGCCTATCCAAAATGTAATCTATTCATTTCAATGTTTTGTTCATTTGTTCTAGCTAGTGTAACTTGTAATTCATAGATTTGTTATTGTTATTGAATTGAAGTATCAGAAATGGACTTACTGTTGAATTTCTGTAAGGGCTTCCTTGGGGATTGTACGGTGGCATGGGCCGTGGCGGCGGCGGCCAGCCGGGCGCCGGGCCGTAGCCCGCCGGCGGCTGCTCATAGCTGTTGGGGTATCTGTGCGGCGGCGCCCCGCTCGACTGTAGCAGCGAGTTGAGCGTCGGCGTGGGGCCCGGCGCCTGCGACACCTGCCCCGGGAAGAAGCGCGGGCCCTGCTGCGGAGGCGGCCGCGGTTTGCCGGGAAAACCGGGCCGCGCGGAATAATAAGGATCTGCTCCTTCTGGGTAACGATACTGGCCGTATTGATCCGGCACCGGACGCTCTCCCGTCCTGTCGTGCCCCGGCGCCTCGCCACCGTCGCGCGGCTGCCCCGGATCGGCCGACATAGGCGATTTACTCTTTGTGTTCACGACGCCATCGGGCGGGACGCGCCCAATGGACTTGTCGGTCCCGTTTTGTAATAGAGCGTTCCGAGATTCACTGAGCTGCTCCGTTGGACTCTGCTCTACGTTCGCTTCGCTTCGCTGAGACTCAGCCTGCGTCGCAGCCATGTTCGGCTGGTAGCGAGCGACCGTCCCTGCGTTGACGATCGACCGGCTCGCTTACGTTACATCGAAATCGTGCGTCGGATAGCAAAATCGCGACGCGGACACTTCCATCACTAATAAACAAATTAACTGCGCACTAATTGTAACGCGAAACGGACGAATAATCGTTCACAGAACCACACACATCGATCACATATCTACACCATTGGCGTAAACGAGGTTAGGGAAAAGGTTACATATCTAGCAGGCGCTTTTGTCACGCTATAACAGAACATTTCATATCACTTTCACGTAAATATCACAATAAGTTCGATCACTTACAATAAAACTCATTCCCGGTTAGAATTATGATTGGAATACTCGAAAACAGAACAATAGAATCACGAAACTTCCAAAATTATTGGCGTCCGCCATTAAACGGACTTGGAAATTCTACGGCGCTTGTCGACGCTTTTGCCTATGTTCACTTCGGTTATAAAAAACAAAAGTGTTGGAACGGAGTATTCAGATAGCAGCGTCCATTTAGAATATATTAGGCCACCTTTCTATAATATTTGAATACTGTACATTACTATAAAATTACAGAAATTATTAGAAAAGGTACCAAAAATTATCTGTGCATGTTTACATTTTTGTACTATCGCGACCACGTAGTTACTACAGTTTTACCAACATTACAGAGAATAAAATGTGACAAGTTCCGGTGGCGCCAATGCATTTGCTCCTATGTTCACACATAATCGGGTTGAAAATAAAGTTATTTTTTGTTAAATAAGTCCACTTTTGGGTTTTAAAAAAGGATTATAATACTATTTTTCATTAAATTTAAAATTTAGTTACTTTTTGGATAAGTTTTTACTCATTAAAAATTTATTTTCGCTAATTTCTGTTTATAGCGAGTCGCAGCTACACGCGATTTAAAAAGTGACGAGGTGATATCAATGCCCGTGGATTTTTTAAATTTAACAAACTTCAAACTGAATGTTGTGTAGTTCGAAAGAGGCGTCAGAATACCCAACCCTTTCCAAATTTTTTTGACTCAGTATTCTTTGAACTAATTCTGCTGCTAAAAGCGATCTCTTATATTTTTCAACCTTTTGTCGGTTTATTGCCGTTGTCCCCACCAAGCTTATCCCCCAAGGGGAGAAAGCGGGAATTTAATTTATTAATAAAAAAAATGATAAATTTTAATTCCTCCCACCAGTGGGGAACACGCGCACCCAGCTTTAAGTATAACATCCTATCCTACTAATATTACAAATGCGAAAGTTTGTCTGGATGTCTGGATGTTTGTTACTCTTTCACGCAAAAACTAATGAAAGGATTTTGATGAAACTTTGCAGTAATCTTGTTTATAACCCAGAATAACATATAGGCTATAATTTATGACGATCTGTGACAAACTAAATTTAATGCGGGTGGAGTCGCGGGCAAAAGCTAGTTCAAGATGTAAATCATCGGCTTCAAAAATGGTGGCTCTGCTCTAGAGCATTAGACGAATGCAAGGCATCAGCGCAACAAGACCGACAAAATAAATCTTTGCTTGTTTTTATGGCGTTTACTCATAATTAAACTTTCGTTGCACGACAAATTTTAATTTCGGTTCTATATTGGCTCACATAAAATTCTAAATCCTATTCTTTGTCTTACTACCGATTTGTGTTCATAATAATCTCTCTTCATAATTTTATTTTTCATACTTTTTTTGTTCATACATTTTTGTTACTACCATCGGAGCTCATAACAGTTAGTAATCATAATTTTTTTATCAATACTGTTACTACCAAGAACCATTTAAAATACATAATTTTTGTTTTCAGATCTTTTTTCTTCATAACATTCATTGATCATATTATTTTAATTAATAATGTTGTTACTAAGAACATACTTCAACTTATAATCTTGTTGTTCAGAATAATTTACTTTATAACAGACATACCTACTCGTATCTTTAAAAAAATCATATACAGGGTGTCCCAAAAACAATGGATAACCCTATAACCATCGATAGGCCTCGCCATGGTCTCCCTAACGTCCAATTTTGACCCCAGTAAAAATATCACCGTTTTCAAGATTTTTAAGTTTTTGTGCATTTTTAGAAAATTGCCACCTGCGATTACTTTTTCTCATGCCATTTCTACAAATAAGGATACTTTTCAATCTAGTTTTTTTCCTTATCACAAGGGATAGTTGGGCTATCAAAAGAAAAGATTAAAGTTCAACAAACTGGTTTAAAAGTTTGAAAATTTTAAGAAATTGCAGAGAAGAAAGAAAAATTAATTCATTTTCTTGCACTTTTGATCAGCCATCGTGTAAAAAAAATGTAGGAAGACCATCGTGCCCATTACACTTACACATGCATGAAAAATTTCAGCTCAATGGGAAACCGGGAAGTTGGTCAATTTTAAGTTGCAAGATTTGCCTACACCAGACATGTGAAAGTAAATAAAAGCTTGCAATAATAATAAAATACGAGGCCCAAATAAAAAATATATTTTTGTTGAGGGACTGATAATCAGTAAGAGTTCTTTTTTATTGAGGTTCTAAATCCGTTTTTTGCTTCTTTAGCATTTCAGAATGCCACCAGTGTCACCCTTAAAACCAATTGCGTAGAATCTTGTAACTTAGTAGATGAGTTAATCGGTAAAATTGTATCTTGTATTTAAGTAGGTACCTATTTATATTATATTATTGCTATTTATCTATGAAAATAAGACAAAATATGTGTTATCCCATCAAAAACAATACTTGTCAAAAAAACCAAGTCTCGCAACTCAGTTGTTCTACGGTAAAAAGTTGTGAGATCCATGTAATACCAAGTCCAGGCCAGGAAATCTTTAACGTTTTACATAAATATATTGACTTGGCCATCGCACTAAATAATTTAATTTACACGTGTTTTCATGCGATGGCCAAGTCAATATTTTATGTAAAACGTTAAAGATTTCCTGGCCTGGACTTGGTATTACATGGATCTCACAACTTTTTACCGTAGAACAACTGAGTTGCGAGACTTGGTTTTTTTGACAAGTATTGTTTTTGATGGGATTATAAACACTTAAGAGTCATTTACAGTAGTAAAGTTTGAAAAAAATATTGCTGTGAAATACAGAATCACTTTCGTGGCATCAAAAAATTCAAAACGTTAAAGCTTCCAAACGAGACTCACTATTTGACTGATTTACTGAGAATACAATCTTCACATCAAGCGCTACAATTTTTGTTTACAAAAAGTTCAAATAAGTTAGAAATAAAATTCGCCACGAAGGTGACGATGAGAACCGTGGCGATGAGAAATACCCATTATCATTATTTATGTGACAGTTCTAAAACATCGATCAATTCACCAAAATATAAACATTGATGGATTTGACGTCTGATTTCCATAAGTTTGATTAAAATTATCAGGAACGCCAAGTCAAAATTATCTAACTATAGTGATTCATTGAAAACACGGGCCAACTGATGCTATGAAGTATCTACTAAATAAGAATATTATATTACTTATAATATTATATTATTTTATTCATAAAAAAAGTTACGCTGAACTAATCTTAATAATAGCATGACTTTCTAAGATGTGTGATACATTTTATGTATAAATTAATGAAAAGTCGAAACATACCCTTCATTTGAATACAAATGTAGGTTCATGTAGGTCTACCTACATCATTATAAGAAAATTGTTCATAAGCACGCAGAAAACAAAATTGAAAACTGCCGTAAATGAAAGCCCCTTTCAATTAGGTACAAACAGTAATGTTTAACGTCTAGGTTGAGTAATAGTTATCTTCTTTTTGTGATTGTTTAATCGCATTCGCATTGTATTTACTTATTATCTCGACCGTCAGCAGAGACTTGGTGATATCGGTTGCTGTAGTTTGTTGCTAAGCGAGTAAATAATATATAATAACTTAAATCATTACATCACGATGTATAAATATATACCTATACCTATCTCCATATTCATAATAGTTTTCTCGTTATGTCCCTACTTCATCTGTACGTTGTAACTCATTAGTCAGTTGAATAGGTATCTACCATCTACTTTTTAACTTTTGTCATTATAGTCTACCTAGTTGACATTGCTTTCCATATTTACTTACTCACCTACTTGATTTTTAACAACGTAGTATTACCAGTATTACCTTCAATGGGTAAAAAACATCTGAAATTGGTCTGAAAGTCGAAGTAATTAACAAGTCAGTGCATACTAATGACACTTATGTACTTAAAATGTAAATATTACTCAATGGCCATGTATTTAGATAAAGCACCTATTCGTAATTAGGCAATTCACTATCTTAATTCCACAACACAGTAAGTTTAGATAGTATCGACCTAATTATATTTTTGAGTTATTTCATGAGATAGCATTCCCTAAAACTACATTATGTAGGTAACAATAACAGCAATTCAAAATTGCATGCACATAAATTTATTTATCTACGCACTTCGGAATTGCAATTCATCTTAAATATTCAGCAGCTGAAAACAAAAGTGTCTCCAATACCGAATGCCAGACTAGCTCATTGTCCTTCAGATGTCAACCCGTGTATTATTCATGAACAAAACTGTTCGAAAATAAACTACCTATCTGACGAAGTGGAGAATGACGTCCGTCAGTTTTCTTCTTGCTACGTAATCGCATCACACTTGTCTCGTGACTCCGGACGGAGTCAGCCATTTTGGAGGTGTGTCCTCTTTCACACCTTTCCAGTGAAGTTAATATGAGCCTTAAATATTTAACATCGACATAATACAAGGCATAGGGTGTTAGAAATATATGCAGTAACTTTTTAATTAGGAAAAAATCTTCAGTTTCACAATTATCAAAGTTATCACATTTTACTCAAATATTAAGTTTCCTAATTAAAAACAAATGATATCGAATTTAGGTTCTTAATCTTAAGAATACAGGGTGTACCCTGTATTCTTCTACGATGGTCGTACCACCAACAAGTGTCCTTGACCCAATTCGCAATGTCCTGAAAGCAGTCAATACTTTTCGATACACTCGCGAAATTAAAGTGCCGAAGGTCGACTTGTTTTCAGTGTTCTTACGTTATGACACAAAATTACCTACAGTCGTACGAGTATGACGGCAGCGTAATTTGTTTTAATTAGTTTACGGACAAATGAGCACATCAATGGCCTATCGGTTGTCTAACTTATTTGAAATACTAAATAAAATAAAAAAACCTAGGCTAGGACTCGTAGTCGCTTCGCTACGGCCATAAATAAATAACGTATGAACTTGCAGACGTGCAATGTGAATCTTTATCGAATCGATTTCTAGCAGCATCCGCCAACTTAAAACATATGAGGTAATAGCCATAAGAAATAAATCATCCTTTCTTCATGTAAAATTACTCTAAAGTATTTAAATTAAAATATTTGTTTTTATTACAACATATCAAACACGCGCTACATTTAATCAAAATACGCATGCTACTGGCCTTAAGAAGAAATGATTAGTTTAAATAATATTCATACATTGGGGTCGCATTCCTGGCCCTTTGCCAGTTAATGCGTTTTAACGTAAAATAAACGGTTTCGTGTTTGCGTCCGATTTTAGAAATAAACTCTATAACTTACGGTTTTAAGGTCACTTTACAATGCTCTACAATGCATCTTACACTGAAGAATACTTAATGCTCACATGCCCCTGATACCGTGTTGTTATTGCAGTATTACTTCTGTTGAGTAAACAGATGTATATCATCATCATTTATTACCTTGCGTTTACTGTCCATAAATATGGAATCGTTTCTAGTTAAAGCCGTATTTTAATATCATGAATGCGAAAGTAACTCAGGTACCTAAGGGATAGTTTTGTATTCCAGACAAAAACAAAGGAATTATGTAACTTAGTTTTAATTCAGTTTTAAGAGGAGAAAACGCTCGCGATAAAGTGTTTCTTTGACATATCGAAATTCACGCGAGGGAAGTCTTAAAATTCTTACTACTTAGTAGTTATAATTCTCAGTTCGTCGTACCTTGCACTTAGTGAGTACCGGAGTACTCGTAACAAATAATGATTATGCCACATGATGAGTGCTTACACACTTACATTGATAAGTGCTGTACTTAAATGAAGTTTACTTTAAATTATAACGATATATCAAACAAGTTCAATAAACTAGCTGCTGATATTATTTTTATCTTAATTATATTATATTATTATATACATAATGAACTAAACTGACATACTCGTAAAATATTGCACTTATATAAAATTAATAAAAATTGCACTTAATACAAAAACGCTAATCAATCGATATCTAGGGTTGCTACCTCATGATAGAAGAATAATAAAGCTGAGTTGCACCAACTTCCTTCAACCGTAACTAACTTTGCCAAATGATGGTTAATGACCGGTGTTTTTTGTATGGAGTTAGATATACTTTTGACGTGTGTTCAAACTGTTCAAGTTGAAGTCAGATGCTGCAAACCAGCCTAAGTTTACTATGAAGTTGCATTCGGTAATTGGGCCTTCAAATAACAATTTGCCAATAATAGTAACAAGACGTTTACCTACTAAAAATTGCCAGGACTGTTTGGACAGTGAAGTACCACTAATTTGCAATGGCGAATTGCGTAAAGTGGATGATTGATGTAAATGATAGTCTGCCGGTGCAGCTTCTGACCTCAGAGAATACTTAATGCTACAAGTGCCACAGGCTGTAGGAGGCTCACAAGTATACTTAATTTCATTGATAGTTTCTTGACTTTCTCCGCTTACTAAGTTAACTTTTACAGCAGGCCAATCAATTTAAGCTGCATATCAAGTATGCGAAATTGCCTCTACATTATGTAAAATCAATCACATCTGTCTATTAACGCCTTCTCGTTGGTTAATCAACCTTATAGTTTGCTTGTCCAATCCCATGTTTAGTACAAAATATGTTATACTTATTAATAAAATCTATGCTATTTTTGAGGAATAGGCACTCAGAGTTAGCTAAAGTTTTCATCACATTATACCCACCTATCACTATTCATTCGAATACCTACTTAAGTATAAGATTAAATGATGTATCTAACGTTTGACTCTGTATCGAATTCGCCAAAACATTTGTTAATATTTTGTAAATTAAAAATAGAAAGGTATCCGACTTAGTTAAATTATCTTTTGGATTAAATTATGAAAAATCTAAATAAATAAATAATACACTTAACTTAAAATGACTTAAAAACTAAAATTTAAAAATTACTAATGATAAAAACTATTTACATAATTTGCTTTTTAAAAAAATAAAACCGACTTCAAATGCGTGAACACAAAAAAAAACTAAAAATTAAAAATATTGCGTATAAAAAAGTTCGACCCCAATTTTCCACCCTTGGGGGTGAAATATTTTCTTCAAATTCGCATGAAACCACCCTTTTGATAATACCTATTCAACAAAAAAATTATCGTTCAAATTGATTTATAATCGGCGGAGATATTGCGTATAAAAAAGTTCATCCCCAATTTTCCACCCTTGGGGGTTGTTTTTTCTATTATTAAATTTAAATGGGACCACCCTTGAGATATTACCTATACGCCGAAAAAAGATTTGTTCTAATCGGTTCATAATTGGCGGAGTTATCGCGTAACAAACATAGAAAAAAAAAACATACGGGTCGAATTGAGAACCTCCTCCTTTTTTTTTTGAAGTCGGTTGAAAATAAAAAATACTTCACCCCCAGCGCCGCAGTCAGGAATCGTGCCCAAAAGGCTGGCAGCATTGCCACGTTGAATGGCCAGGCTAATTCTCTAAAATAGAAATATAATAAAATATACGCATTAATGAAAAATGTATGCACTACCATAGATTTAATTAAATCAATGTCATAAATAAGATTATTTCTAAGCGTGTGCGCAGTTATTGGATTGATGTGTCATTCCCACCATCTTAACGATGTTTCACTTCGCCGCCTGCGCACTGATTATGTCTATAATTACATTCAACAACTCATTAATTCATTCATCAAGGTTCGACTCTTGTTCATCTCTACATTGTCTTTTGCTTAAAAAGACAGTTTTTATTTGTTTTTTTTTTAGATTAGATAATATGATTTATCACAACATCGATTTGATAATATAGAACAATGATAAAAATTATCATAATAGATCCTTTCCCGGGAATCGAGCTATCTCTATATCATCAAAATCGATTCAGTGTTCTAGGCGTGAAAGCGTGATCGACAGAATTACTTCGGCATTTATAATCTACAGGGTGTTTGGTAAATGGGTATATGAGCCGACACTAGCCCATGTTAACGTGGGCATATAAATGGTATGGTGAAGTCAGAAATTTGATATCATCATTTTAATTTTTTTAATTTTCATACAAAATAAATTTTATAAAATCCGATTTATATGAAAATTAAAATAATTAAAATGAAGATATCAATTTTCTGACTTCACCATACCATTTATATGCCCATGTTGACATAGGCTAGTGTCGGCTCATATACCCATTTACCTAACACCCTGTATGTATACTAATATGAAGCCACGATAGCCGAACGGTGAAGGGGTCGGACTGGCCGACTCGTGATCCGGGGAACGCGGGTTCGGTCCCCGCCGCCGCTCGACTATTGTGGTGAGCTCACTCGTGACACAAGCATATTTAGCTTAGTACGAGGGGCTAACGGGAGTATTAGTAATTTGTGTAATAACAAATTACTAATAATCTTTTTAAAAAAAAAAAAAAAAAAAAATTATAAATGCGAAAGTAACTCTGTCTGTCTGTCTTGCTTTCACGCCTAAACTATTGAATCGATTTTGATTAAATTTGGCATAAAGATAGTTTGAGTCCCGGGAAAGGACATAGGATAGTTTTTATCCTGGTTTTTTAAACAGGAACGCGCGCGATAAAGTTTTTCTGTGACAGACAAAATTCCACGCGGGCGAAGCCGCGGGCGGAAAACTAGTACTTAATAAATTATTAAGTAAGGATTAATAATAATATTAGCCGCCTGTAAGAGCCATTAAGTTAACCAGTTATCACAGGATCGCGTCTAAGCAAGCAATCAATGTTTTATCGATGTGTGTTATCGGTCACCTCATTATTTATATCGGGGTTACATACAAACATCTGTGTCAACACAAGCCGTGTGACGTTCTATTGATATTTGTCTGTTCTGCGATAGTCTTAACTACAAAGTTTTCAACGATATTATAATAATTTCTTCAATATAACTAAACTTGGACATTGGACATGGAATTCTCCACGTTTTTATTTAATTTGTAATTTATATTCGTAAATATTTAAGTATGCATCTTTTCCCTGTTTTATGTAATGTCGTACAAAATTAATTAACAAACTAAAGACAAATAATACTTATTAAAATATGCTTAGATTCTTATTAGCTAAATATCACTATGCAATTCAGATTTTGTTAATCTTTGATTATATTTTTTATATGCTTGTAAATGTGCAATGAAGTATGTATTGAACGACTAAATATATTTTCGGGTTTAGGTATTAGTGCTTGCATTTTATTATTTCTCACTTTACTTATACCTACTCGTACTTATTAAGTACACTGTACAACCAAGCTTAAAGTACAATAAACTTTGGTGTGAAAGGTTATCATTGAAAATACTTAAGTGCTGTTTAATTCCTTTTGAAGATTGTGTAAATGAACTTATAAGTAGAAAAGGAAATATAAAATCCAAAGATTACTGAATTAGGGAGAGTTGCAGCACTTGCAGCAACTTACTTTTTACGGTAACTATAGTATAACCATAAACGATGTTTTTTGTATGGAGTATGACAGATTATATTGACACTTGTTAAAGTTAAAGTAAGATGGCGCACGCAACCCAGCCTTAAAGTGCAATCCAGTGGGTCTAGACAAAGTGCACATTTTAATCGCAAACCAGTCGTAAAGTGGTCGAAAAGTCTTTTTTTTGGCGGATTCGCTTTTCGATTCGATCAAAATGTGTACTTTGTCTAGACCCCCAGCATTTACATGCCAAAATTGACAGATTGAATGCACCTTTGGGTCTAGACAAAGTGCAAATTATGATCGCAAACCAGTCGAAAAGAGGTCGAAAAGCCCCTATTTTGTATGGAGTTTTGACAGATTCGATTTTCGATTCGATCAAAAAGTGCGTTTTGTCTAGGGAGGCTTTAGTCCTTTAAATCACGCGATGACATTGATAGCAAGTTGACCATATCGCCCTCGAAATTATACTTTGTAATCTCACGAGTTTCGTGATATTGTGAAGTTTCCTTAAACGTTTAGGTTATTTCAACGATATTCAAATGTAAATTAAACCTCTATTTAATTTGTCTGATTCACAGTTTGGAAACGCACCGCGCGTCAAATACTCTATTCATTACCAAAAAATATTTATAGCTATATTTGTCTGTTGAGTTTTAAAGTGTCTAAATCACTATCTCTACGGTTTCCGAATTCTGGCTGTTTTTTTAAGCTACTGTCAACCAAATGTAAATTCTGAGCATCGTGATAAGATAATACTGTATGCTTATCTGTTTGTCGGATACCATAGGCAGTTCTCTGTACAAAAGATGTGAAAAGATTATTTTTTCGATTTCAGGGGACTTCGGGCGGTACCAATGTTTCCAGTTCCTCCTTCACATCCTAGCAGCCATGACAGCTGGGATGCACATGCTCTCACTGGTCACTGTCGCCGCGGTACCTGAACATAGGTATGTAATGAGTGAAACTTCTGGTCAATGTCATAAACATGGATTGTGGTACAGCGAAATTTATAGGTACACAAAGCTTCACCAACATAAAGTACCTCACATTACGAATACGTTTCTTTCTGTTTGATAACAGCAGCTGATTTTAGGATTTTACTGAATATTGTTATGCATTTCTTTATGTTTGAAACTTTGTGTACAACAAAATAACTGTAGCTCAAAGAAGTTTTATAAAAATACAAATTAATAAACTTATTTACTAAAGTGGAATAGTGACCAATTAATTTATGGTTACATTTTCCTTGATCCTCAGTAATAATATAATAGTATTTGCTGTATTCATACAACACACATGCGGTTGTTAATACATTTTAAATAAGATTATTTTCCTGCGACTCTACATTTTCCTTTGGGCTACAGTTGACTCATTTGAAAACAAGATTATATGACACTTGTAATATCTACCCATCTAAAATTGGTTCTCAGGTTTCTTACGATGCATGTGCATGTAGGTATGAACATTAAATGGGCATTGAAGGGATATGGACACCTATGAATAATGTTTCGTCTATTTGTCTTTATGTAGAGCGTTATGATATTATCATAACCTATTGTGTAACATTAGTGTCACTGAACTCTGTTACGAATTTGTCACACTACTGTTCTTCAGACTTTTGATACTTTTGTAATTGCTTAACAATTGAAATATTTAAATAAAAATTTAAGTCATCAAAAGTTTGAACCTTATGTAATACCTATACTTAGGTACTTATCAAATGTATTTTTTTCCAAAATCTATAAGGTGCAAAAGGGGATGCTTTCTACTGCTTTTACGGTAGCGCGTACGGTTTTGCTTGGTTCGGGTACGAGGGTACTACAGATTCTTCATTATTATGGATACGGCTTTGGTATACCTACCCCAGTATGAGACAGTGATATTGTATGGTGCTACTAGGGTAAACGTAAGTACATCTTTGTAAATTAAATTTACAAACCATTCGCTTGTAATTTGCCTTATTTTTACAGTAGGCTCCGGCCAACTGATAAAGTTTAAAGCTAGGTGTTATACATCTATCAACTAACAACATGTTATATGAGCCCTCAGTAGGTTAATAATCCAAGGCCTTATCATGTAAGCGATGTCAAATAAAATATTGTGCTAGTAATATACACCTTAAATTATTATCTTTAGTAGAATATGCGCAACAGATTCGATATATATCCATTGAATATGTTTGCGATATCTAACCAACACAATCATGTGCGTATACAATCTACATACAACATTTGCAAAACTCACTCATTCGCTTGATCCGTGTACGAGTCCATCGCTTCACGAATGCTCCCCAATAAAAAACATTTGAAGCGAATGCAGTGCAGTGTGGTGTTGTTTACGAACTACATTGCGAATTATAATTATAATAATATCAAATTATTTTTAAATACTTGGCTTAAAGGTAGCTACTATTGCTGATACGATAGGCGAATTTTGGAGCTTTTTTATTAACCGACTTCAACAAAAGGAGGAGGTTCTCAATTCGGTTGTTAGATTATCGCAAGATTATGTGATAAGGCCAAAGCAGGACTAAGTAAGTTACGTAATATGTATGTCCCATTTTTTTCTACGAATATCAAGATGTAGCTATTTTTAACTTACTTGCATGAATTAACTTGCGTTGAATACGCTGTAGTGGAATAGAAGGTTCTTTAAAGCTTACAATTAATTTTCCCCCTTGTATTGTATTTGAAAGTAGATTGTTAAAAGAGCTTGCAATATCCATTACAGTTAACTGCTAATTAATAAGAAATAATACTTAACTAACCAGTATACAATTGTCACGCAAACATTATCACAGCACTTACTAACTTCACTTAATTGGAAACATTTTTTTAATTTAAATTTTAATGTATTTCAGATGTGCCCTGTATGAAGATGCAAACTATACCGAGTCCTGGAACTCTTCTATAGTCCTGGATTCAATTCCCTTGAATGAGCACGGAAAGCTGGATTCATGCAACATTTACGGACCAAATAATACATTGGAAGAGTGCGAGGAATGGGTGTACAATACTCAGTACTTTACCTCATCCCGAGGGATCGAATGGGACTTTGTATGCAGTCGAAGGTGGATGGGAGCGACTGCGCAGACCGCTTACATGTTTGGCGTTGTCGTCGGTTCCCTGGTCCTAGGCCGCGCGTGCGACAAGTTTGGAAGAAAAACCGTTTTCGTCTGGTCTGGGCTACTCCAATTAATATTTGGAGCATCTGTAGCATTCGCCAACGAATACTACACGTTTATCGCGATTCGGTTCTTATACGGAATATTCGGCTCCGGCCCATACATCGCTGGGTTCGTACTAACAATGGAATTGGTCGGGCCGAGCAAACGCACAGTCTGCGGTGTAGTATTTCAAATAATGTTCGCACTGGGAATCATGCTGTTGGCCGCATGGGGATATCTTATAGATAACCGATTCTATCTGCAAATACTTTATGCTTTACACGCAACAATACTGCTTCCTCATTGGTTTGCGATGGACGAATCCCCCAGATGGCTATGGGCCCAGGGTCGCGCTCGCGAATCTGTGGCTATTATCGAGAAGGCGTTGATAATGAACAGGTCAAATGAGAGTGTGGATACTCCACTGTTGGTATCCCACTGTAAAGCCACGTGTGCTAAATACACTGACGAACATTCAGCCGGTACCACGGACCTATTTAAAACACCAAATATGCTCAAAAAAACTTTGATCATTTGCGGCTGCTGGTTTGCCAATTCTGTCGTCTATTACGGTCTGTCTCTTAATACAGGGAAACTCAATGGCAATCCTTACTTTATAATGTTTTTAATGGGTGTTGTAGAGTTGCCAAGCTACGTTATAATCATGTACTTCTTAGATAGAGTCGGTCATAGAGCTCTTATCAGCACAATGATGTTGTTAGGTGGAATATCCTGTTTGGTGGTGGTGGCTCTGCCTCATGGTTCGTCAACTGTGACTGGAGTGGTCATGGTCGGTAAAATGTTTATTTCTGGCTCATATTCAATTATCTATAAGTATTCCGCTGAACTTTTCCCAACTGTAGTGCGCAGTTCTGGCGTGGGTCTCGGCAGTATGTGCGCTAGTATTTCTGGAGCTTTGACTCCATTGATCAGTTTACTTGATACACTGAATCCTAAAATACCAACGATAATTTTCGGATTTCTAGCTCTCTTATCAGGATTTTCTACATTCCTTTTGCCAGAAACAATCGGTCGCGATTTACCGCAATCAATTGAAGATGGCGAAAAGTTCGGTGTTGGAGATACGTGCTTTACTAATTGCAGCGGCCGAAGAATGAGCGACGATTCCGTGGATATTCCTGAAACTATGGTACCACTTGAACCGATCGAAAAAAAAGGATAATGACGTGATCATGACATAAAATGCATTTAATAGTAAAATCTTAAAAGAGTCTAACTATGTAAAGTTAATGTCGAAGGCTGGTTGAAATTAAAGGGAGCAAACAATAATTTTATTGTATGACAAAATTAAATGGCTTGATGACATGATAGTAGATTTAAGTTTAGGTAATAGGTAACTTATCAATTGAGTAATTCTTGTCGTTGTAATGGGTCGTAATAATATTTTCGTGGCTATTACTCTAGTCAGCTGTTATGATGGAATAACCTGTGGATTACGTGCACCTATGTGTACCTAGGTGTCCCCTATATTTAAGAAATGATTCTTAAAGATCGCATTAAAATATTTTCAGATAGGTAAATACAATCATGTTATACCTTACAAAACCATTTCACAAGCTGTACTGTTTTACGAGGGCGGCACTGAAAATTTCGGGAATCAAGGAAGTGAAACAACATTACTATTTAAAAATGTATTTATTGCTTTTTAAAGTATTCTCCGCGAACTTTGACACATTTTTCCATACACGAAACCAATCATTGAAGCAACCATTGCATTCGGAAGTTTGGGTCTCCAAAATGGCCGTTTTGTAGGCTTCCACAGCTTCTTCAGGTGATGAAAATCTCTGACCACGCAATTTATTCTTAATTTTAGGGAAAGTATAGAAATCATTAGGGCTTAGGTCGGGGCTGTACGGCGGATGGACTAATAATCCTATGTTTTCTTGCTCTAAAAACTCTTTTGTTCAGTGCGCGGTGTGAGAACTCGCATTGTCGTGATGGAGGATGATGCGGCGGTTGCAGTTCTCTTTACGGAGTTCAGAAACGACCTGTGGCAAACAAATGCTAGCATACTAATCTGCATTAACCGTTCTTTGTCCCCCAAGAGGAATAGTCGCAACATGGCCGGTTTTGGAGACAAACGTGGCCACCATTTTTTTTGCAACACTCCGTGAACGAACAATTTTTGTTGGCTTTAATTCATTTTCGAACACCCAAACTCGTGACTGGTTTTTTGTTTCGGGTTCGTACGCGTATATCCATGATTCGTCACCTGATACGATGTTGTATACAGCATTTGAGGATCCTGCATGTAATCTCCCGAGAGTTCTGACGCACCAAGTAACGCGAGCCGCTTTTTGCTCTTCACAGAGCGAATGCGGTATCCATCGGGAAAACAACTTTTTTACACCTAATTGTTCATGCAAGATTATTTGTATTTGACTCATGCCAATGTCTAAAGTTGCCTGAATTTCGCGGTATATCACATGTCGATCTTCTTCAATCAGCTTACGCACAGCATCAACGTTTTCTTAGGTGACTGCAGTTTTTGGACGACCTTGACGGGGATCATCACTGAGCTTGACACGTCCACGTTGAAATTCAGGAAACCAGCGATAAATTGTGGTTTTGGATGGGGCTTCATTACCAAATGCAGAAATCATCCGGTCAACACACTGTTTTTGTGTTAAACCACTTCAAAAGTCATAATAAATCATCGCTCTTGAATTTTCTCGAGTCAATTCCATTTTCTCAACGACTAAACAAGTTTGACAAGACCTTGTGATACGACCGAGAATCTTTTTTTAAATAAATAAATGGTATACGATTTTTAAAACCCTGGAGTTTGCAATTAAATAGATTTTAATATGACTGGAACAGTGGAAATATTCCATTCCCGATACTTTTAGTGCAGCCCTCGTATAATGTAGGTACACCCACATTTTTATTTGTGAGTTAGGTACAAAACTATGTAAGTAGATACTTCCATTAGTAAGTAATTAAGTAGGTATGTTGTTTTTGTAGCAAAGTAAATAGTAGCGGCTTAATATTGAAACTACGCTCAAAGTTAATGTTTTTCAATAATGGTGTGAAGTCTAATGATGTTAATACTTAAGTTAATTAAGTCATTGACTGAAGCAAATCACTGTCATTCAGCATTTAATTAAAATTAAGACTGATGCCAAAATGCATGGTCAAAAATTTTTTATTTCCTTACATCTAGACCTACCCTGAACAAAAGTTAATAGTTAATCTTGAATGTAAGTACACAAGGAGTTCCAACATTTTGGTAAGCAGCAAATACAGTGTGAGTCACGTTAAAGTGTACCTACATATGAAAATAGATGAAACTAGACCTATTTTTATCGACAAAAAAGAGGTCAAAAAATTCTTGAGATTTTTTATAGATTTTTTTTTCTTCCAATTACTTATTGTAAAGAAAACGTTATAACTTTTAAACTAAGCGGTATATCCTGATAAAATAAAAACAGTAATAATGCTTAATAACAGGCAATACTAAAAAAATACACAAACAAGACCAAAAAATAATAAAAAAATTCACTTTTTGAAAAAAAAACAGCTTTTAAATTCGTGTTTTTTTGGTTATTGGATAAATTTCTCCAAAAAATGCCCCTACAACCGGTGGTTTTTATTACTTTGTATTATTCTCTATCGTATTACCTTTGTAATACCAAAAATCGCATGTCCCTATCCCTATCACAACATTTGCTATGATCGTTTGAACAAAGGCCTGCCACAACATTATTCTCCGCTACAGGTAGAGACAATTTTAATTTTAACTAAAATGCTTATTTTACTTCGAAATCTTTTGTTTTTATTTGAAATCTAACTTGTCTTTATCAAAATTACAAATCTAGAGCCATTTTCAGTTTCGTTGTTAACGAAGCGTTGAATGGCGCGCCCGGAAAGGCTTAGTTCAAACGATCATTGCAAACGTTGTGATAGGGATAGAGACATGCGATTTTTGGTTTTACGAAGGTAATACGATAGAGAATAATACAAAGTAATAAAAACCACCGGTTATAGGGGCATTTTTTGGAGAAATTCCAATAACCAAAAAAACACGAATTTGAAAGCTGATTTTTTTTCAAAAAGTATCATTTTTTATTATTTATTGGCATTTTTTGTGTATTTTATGTATTTTTTTAGTATCGCCTGTTATTTAGCATTATTACTGTTTTTATTTTATCAGGATATACCGCTTAGTTTAAAAGTTCTTACGTTTTCTTTACAATAAGTAATTGGAAGAAAAAAAAATCTATAAAAAATTAAAAAAAAAGCTCAAAAAAATTTTGACCCCTTTTTTGTTGATAAAAATAGGTCTAGTTTCATCTATTTTCATATGTACACTTTAACGTGACTCGGTAAGTCAAAATACTGGGTGTAGAGAAATATTTTTTCATAAATTTTTGAAATAATATCCCTTAACGTCCCGTAGGTAGTCAAAAATATGTAGCCAATATTCTACTAGCTTATAAGACGATTGTATTCCATTAACTATGTAAAGTGGAATAAATAAGGTGCTATTAGACACAATTAGGATAAATTAGTACAAAAGGTTATGGGGGAACATTGTAATTTGTAGATGCAGACTAAGTAAAATGACCTATGTTCAGTGGTAGGATTAAAGTACTTACAGAGGCCAAGATGCATAAGGTTTTATAGACCGAATGTTTTATAATAATTTTACAATGCATTATTTTATACGCAATATCAATAGCAGAAAGTTAAATTGGTGAAAAGTGCCCTGAAAAGGGCCCGACACATCCATCCATATTAATAAACAAATGCTTACTCACTATAAAAAATATTCACTGTTAGTCTAGTTACTAAACGCAAGTCCATAGCACTACTCATTGCATTTTTAATACCTTACTTCTAAGAATGATGGAAACAACAAAATAAAGCTGCCAGTGTTTTTTTTTGTCATTAGATTGTAAGAACAAATAATGTCAAGTTATTTACAAACTGTTGTTTAGTTTTAAAGTATTTACTTACAGTTTAAGCCTCTCGGCCAGACATTAGATGGTAGGTGGCTTGGTTATAATACATTTGTTTATACAAATTCGTGGTCGAGGGGTTATGTGTCCGTGGAGACTGAACCCAATAAAATATAGTTAGTTTATATTTTGTATTAATAACGTTAATGAAATAGGTAAGTAATATTCTAAAATACTGAACAAGACAAATTCAAACTACCAACTAGTATCAAGCGGTTTTAAATAACTGGATTTGAGACTCGAACTGAGAACTTACACTTTCTTATTGCTCTTCATTGGTCATCTTCATTGTGCTAATTTATTAAAATCTTTTTGAAAAGTATAATATTTTGTATCCTATGCTCTACAGGGTGTTAGGTAAATGGGTAGGTATATCAGCCGACACTAGCCCATGTTAACATGGGCATATAAATGGTATGGTGAAGTCAGAAATTTGATATCTTCATTTTAATTATTTTAATTTTCATACAAATCAGATTTTATAAAATTTATTTTGTATGAAAATTAAAAAAAATTAAAATGATGATATCAAATTTCTGACTNCACATGGGCTAGTGCCGGCTCATATTCCCATTTACCTAACACCCTGTATAGTGTAAGCGACACATCTAAAATACCTACTATAGAAATCCTTAGCTTATCTAGTAAATGGCAATCAGTGTTTTCTTGTTTTGGGCTTGTTCAGTAGCTCGGGATACCCGGTATAGAATCGATATTAATTATTAAATAAATGTCAAAGCTTAAAGTAGGTACAATTTTGTAACTCACCAAAATACATTCTGGGTCTAAGGCCTAATTCACACGAGAGCTTTTTTAACGTCCGTTAAAAAAGCGTTCAAATAGAACATATGCATACCCAAGTACGTGTTCACACGTCGGCGCTTTTAAAACGCGACGCTTTTTTATCGAGCAGTGTTGCATTTTCAACGCAGAGCGTTGGGAATAGGCTTGGGTATGNTGCATACCCAAGTACGTGTTCACACGTCGGCGCTTTTAAAACGCGACGCTTTTTTATCGAGCAGTGTTGCATTTTCAACGCAGAGCGTTGGGAATAGGCTTGGGTATGCATATTATGTTCTATTTGAACGCTTTTTTAACGGACGTTAAAAAAGCTCTCGTGTGAATTAGGCCTAAGTATGTATGTTTTCAAAAATTAAAGCTGGTCGTCATAATGCGCAGGCGCTTAGCAATTTTTGCATGTTACAAGTAAATATAAATAAATATTAGCTTCTTAGCTGGGCTAAATTATCTTACGGTGTGATCCTCGCTCGCTTAAAGACATATTGCCACGAGGCTTATAAGACCAGTGGTGCACGCATCGGTCTCATAAAAAGGCATATCACGTAATAAGTTAATAAGAAAAGGTACCTAAACCTTACCTCAAGTTACGAAGATAAGTACCTAACGACAATAGTCAAATATCTAGAATAGGTATTATACAAAATATACAAATACTCTAACAAAAGACACACTAACTATAACTATTCCATATTTATTTTCCTAAATATTACTATTTGAAGTCAAGTGTTACAAAAATATCGTCGCTACATGGTTGCTACTCATGGTTAATAATCTTCAATATTCCGAAAGGCTGTTAAAGCCGT